TCCCCAGAGTCATCACCAGACGCCACCAGGATGGCTCTTTCTACCCAAGCACAGAGTCACCAAGGCTAAATGAGGAAAGCTGAGAACTGCAACTGTGTATAACAAAATTCTGAACAAGCAATTGATTCAGTTCTGTCATTCCTTCTGGAAAATAAGTGGTAACATTTATCTATGAGCCCTTGTAAAGACAAACGGGGACATCCACTTCTTCCTTTAAGGAGGACAACCAAGCAGGATATTTCCTGACCACCTGATTTATGAAGGAAGACACAAAGAGATGCGTGATCCCTAACCCCGAGGTGCTCAGTGGAGTGGATACACGATGGCTACTTTGTGTTATTCATGATGATGAATGCTTTATAAATCGTCCCTCATTCTTAATCTCCACAGTAAAGCTACAAATTATGTATTACTAGCCTGAGTTTACAAATGAGGAAACAGGCTCACAGAGCCTAAGTAAACTTGATCAGGGTCACAACATAGGAAGACCCAAAGCTAGAATCTGAAGTCAAGTCTACTGCACTTTGCACTTTCTCCTAGTCTAGTAGTTAACAAGAGGAAACTTTTCTTTCCCCAGGGGACATTTGACAAAGTTCAGGGACATTTCTTAATTGTCACAACCAGGGATGGTGGTGGCTAATCCAGGCATCAAGGGGTAGAGGTCAGGGCTGCTGCTAAATACCCTATGATGCACAGGGCAGGCATCCAAACAAAGAGCCGTCTGGCCTGAAAAGTGAACAGTGCCAGGGTTGAAAAGACTTGGCCTATACCATAAGACCTTGCAATCATTAGCTACAAGACCAAATGTGAGCTGGAGGCATGAATGTATAGCACTCTTAACTGGGCAGCATTAAAAGTCTTTGTCACAATGGTAGGATTTTGGTTGAGCCTTAAAAATGTGGGTAGAAAAGAGGGGACGGCATTTCCAGCAGCCTAGGACAAAAGAAATGACCAAACGTGGGGACAAAAAATGGCAAGGTGCATTTAGGGGTTAAGACAATGATGATTAAGTACTTTCTCTAAACTGTCTACAAAATTAAATCAGTAAAAATTTATGAATAAAAACTCTAGTAAATCTGCATGCTTGGGACATCTTTGAATATTCATAAGAAATGGGTAACTTGGTAGACTCCAGGAGGGAAACAGGGTACCTGAATTTTGTTTGTTGAGGGGAAATACAGGTTGACACCAGATTGTAGAAGACCATAAGTAGGTTCCCAGGAAGACAAGTAACTTAAGCAGACACAGGTCCAGTCACATTCCAAACTTATGACATGCTGCTGGGCAAAACGGTAAATCCATGAGTGCCAAAGCCAGACTATCTGGGTGAGAACTCCTACTCTACCATGTACTACTTTTTAAGTTACTTCCTAACTAGGGGCAAGTTACTTAATCTCTTAGGCCTCAGTTCACTCTTGATTAAATCAGAAAAGTAATAATTCCTATTTCATAGGTTTATTATGAGGACTTAGTGAGTTAAATTTTGCCACACACTTAGAACCACAGTTGGCACACAGAAAGCACTGAAAAATATTTGCGTTTATAAGTAATAGTATTTCATGACATCTTCACAGTAACCTAATGAGGAAGGCACCATTGTTATTGCCACTTTATTGATGATGATATTGTGGCTTATAGAAGTTAAGTACCTTGACCAAAGTCCTTTGGCTAAAGCAGGGTACACTGACTCCAAACCCAACCTCTTAATCACTCCATATATTGCTTCATGAAGGCCAAGAACATTAAGCTTTAGCAAGCAGGCGATGGGAAGCTGCTAAAGGTTTCTAAATGGGAATATGAATTATTAAGGCAAGGTTTTCCTGGAAGGCAACTGGCAATGGAATGGAGAATAAACTGGAATGGGATGGGTTAGGCTAGGCGCAGGAAGAGCAGGGAGAAAAACCTGTAGAAAGACGTGAGTCGGGAAGGACAGTGCTGGAAATGGAAAGAACTGGGAGAGTAAAAACATGACATGGGAGGGTTCAATTGGCAGATGTCTGTGGCAGTATAGCAAGTAGCACAGCAAGGAGATGGCAGAACGTGTTGATTCCACCTGCCTTGACAACAGCAAAAGAATGTCAAGAAAGTTGACCTAACCTGGCTTGTTCTGGGAAATTACAAAACTATGTCGGTCTGTCAAGAAAGACCTTCCCAGCAATACCCAGGAATCAGAAATATGGAACCCTCAAGCTGAAGCAAAGGGAGTGAGGGGAAACGCAAGTATGCAGATTATTAACTAAGATATGTAACTTCGTAAATTACTTACTACATTGGAAGTTCTAAGCATAGAAAAAAAATTCAGATTCCAGGATATTTTTCTTAAATAAAGATGAGTTCACGCACACAATCAAAACCACACCAAACCAAAGTTCCATTAACACTGCAAACTACAACAAAATGCAGACCACATGACAGAATCAAAATTTCATCAGGAAATTTTTCTGGACTAATGAAATATTTCAAGAGCTCTTTCTCTGCCTCCACAGAGGTCAGGCTACGTGAATTACAGTGAGAATAACACGTGCATTAAATCATCTATTCATTCAACAAGTATGTACTAAGTTCCATTAAACTCTCAGAATGTCATCTTTCAGTGTATAGACTTGCTAAGAAAGGCAAGATTTGCTTTTCTTCTCTGGAATATAAAACATACATTAACAGCTCACCAGTAGATTCACCTTGTTACATGCCAAGTCCAAATGATGACTATGTGGTCAGTAACCTATGGCAACAGCAGACACTTTGAAGGGGCTCTGGGAGATAATAGCGCCTGCAGGACACACATGCAGGCAGCTCTTTCTGAAATTATTTACTGCTTGTTAGAATATGTAAATCCTACAATTATTTTCAGGATTCATTGGTGATAACCAGGAGATTCTTCCCAAGTTTTAACAAAACAGTTTTTTTTGTTAAAGTTTAGAGTTATCACTGAAGTTACAAATAATACCCTAGTGTCATTTGGTAAGTGAATCACTCCAATCAATATCTTAATGTCTATACACACCACATAACTTTTTTTATACTGAAGAAAAAAAGTCATGTTTTTCAATTGAGATATTAGCTTATATTAAAAAGATGAATGAATGTGCTATTTGAAATCTAAGAGGGAACAGACACATTACTAAACAAAACATCACCACAAATCCATAGCAGGCACACAAGTATACTTAGTATAATATGCTGAAGCATCTCAATCCAACTGACAAATAAGCTGACACATAGACCCCTTCTCTCTGCAGGCCCCTTTCTCAAGTAATACCTGAAATGGCAGAAGAAAACCTGCCAACTAGCAGTACAAAAGGATAAGTGACGAGATGGACACCAAAGCAGGCTAAAAAAAAAGTGACCTGCACACAATTCCAAAAGCAAAATCCAGGATGCTTTTTCTATAAAATCTAAGCTTCCAACATTTTATAAAGTGCGTTAAAAGACCTACTCATGAACATGTATGCAAACACATACACTCTAGCCATGTCAGAAAGGCTCCTTTTCAGGCACCCATCTCATGAATTCACAATTCTTTAACCATGAATCACTCCAATTCTTTTCCTATTTAAGAATTCTGGACTCAGGCCTATATTTCATGTCTAGGGCCCTTCGGTAGGCCTAGTCCATGCTTTGGGCTTGGGGTAAGGGGATGGAGCTCCAAACTACCTAGCTCTCTTCTCAAGCAAACAAAGCAATCTCCTTGGTACATTACTTACTCTAAAGAACTGGTCACTGAATCAGAATACATAATCCAGAATAAGTCACATCTGTAATTTTTCCTAACTGAGGCAGTCTAGGCAATGAGTGGACTATAGACTGATTCCATGCAGATAAAATCTGGCAAACACTGCTAATTAGAAGATGATCCACATATTTTCATTCTATAAATATTTACTGAAGCATCATCTCTAAGCCAGAACCTGAGAGTTTTCTTTTGGCCAGACAATTGAATAAAGTATAACTCTAATACAATAATTCCTACATGGCATAAACATTTCTCTTTTCCCTCAGTTTTACTGAGATGTAGTTGACAATAAAAACTGAATTTATGAGCCCGGCTCGGTGGCTCAGCCTGTAATCCCGTGTCTTTGGGAGGCTGAGGTGAGTGGATTGCCTGAACCTGCGGGTTTGGACCCGCCTGGGCAGCGAGACCTCATCTCTACAATAAAAAAAAAAAAAATCAGCCAGGCATGGTAGCGCCATGCCTATAATTCCAGCTACTCAGAAGGCTGAGGCGGAAGGATCGCTGGAGCCCAGCAGGTCAAGGCTGCGGTGGCTGGGAGAGGCCACTGCATTCCAGTTTGGGCAACCGAGTGAGACTCCAACTCAAAAAAACAAAAAACAAAAAACAACTGAATTTATATACAGTATATAATATGATGCTTTGATGTATGTGTATACATTGTGAAATAATTGTCACAAACCAGCTAAATAACCTACTTACTGCACATAGATTTTTGTAGGTGTGGTGAGAAAATTTAAGTTACTCTCTTAACAAATTTCAAGTATGTAATACAGTACTGTTAACTATAATCACTATGCTGTATACTAGATCCACAGAATTTGTTCACCTTATAGCTGAAAGCCTGTAAGCAATTCTTAAATTATCTATGATTTACTCTTTATCCAAGGATACTTAGTAAGTAAACATATAACTTATTTCATCTGAGTTAATTTTTAAGTAACTAACTGGAATATTATGTAGTAAAGATATTGGATAAAACAATTTCTGATTATACCATATCACCTACCTTAAAAAAACTGGCATGCCAAAAGAAATGCATGCCTGACAGTTACAAATTATTGCTCCCATTACAAAACAGAATGAATGGCATATCATTAAATCATGGCATATCAGTAAATTTAAAGGAATTCAAAATGTCACACAATGGTGTGTGTGTGTGTGTGTGTGTGTGTGTGTGTGTGTGTGCATTTTTTCCCCTTTCTTAAATAGGAATTCATACTGAAAGGCTAGTCAGCTGGGGGCTGGGGATTGCTGACAGAAGTCTTACCTGTCGAATGATACTCTTCACACAACGTACTGGGAGGCCTTGATAGTTGGACTTGATGATCCACTTGAGGAGATGGTGGCCAAGTACTTCAAAGACCATGCAGACATCTGGGACATAGTTAAGGATTGTGTGTGGATGCATTTTCTGCAGTGAGGCAGTTATACATCATTGTGTCACTTGCAAAACACTTATTTCTTTATATAAAATACAATATCAACACAATCAGTAATAACAAAAGTGGTTAAATGCTGTACCTCACTTAAATAACTTATGATTTCTAAACACAGTTGTCCTTCAGTATCCCAGAGGATTGGTTCCAGGACCCTCTTGGACAACAATATCCAAGGATGCTTAATTCCCTAAAAATTAGCACAGTATTTGCATATAACCTATGCACATCATCCTGTATACTTTAAATAATTTTTTTTTTTTTTTGAGTTGGAGTCTCACTCTGTCGCCCAGACTGGAGTGCAGTGGCACGCTCCCAGCCACCACAGCCTAACCTACTGGGCTCCGGTGATCCTTCCACCTCAGCCTTCCAAGTAGCCAGAACTACAGGCGTGTGCTACCATACCCGGCTAATTTTTTTTGATTTATTGTAGAGATGAGGTCTCACCAAGTTGCCGAGGCGATCTCGAACCCGCGGGCTCAGGCAATCCACTCACCTCAGCCTCCCAAAGGTGCGGGATTACAGGCTGAGCCACCGAGCCTGGCTAATAATTTCTTAAATACAATATCTAATACCATGTAAATGCTACATAAATAGTTGTTATACTCTATTTTTTGAAGTTGTATCATTTTTTATTGTTGCACTGCTGTATTTACTAAATGTGTACTCCAAACAACCTTACAAAATAATATAATTACCCCCACCATATAAATAAGGACACTTCAGAGAGCGCCAGGCAGCCAAGTCACCAATAAAGCCCACACTGAGCTGAGCCTATCTCAGCACACTCCTTCTTGAAAATCAGCAATTAAAATGGGCAAGACTGAAACCTCACAGGAACTGATGTGGAAAAAAATAAAGAGCTCCACTGTCCTGAGTGTCCTAATGGCCTGACTAAATTGCTACATGTGAGGCCACATAAAACACATTATGAAACAAGTGTATTAAACACAATAAAGACTTATTTGATCTTTTCCTTGAAGAATATCTTTCACTGCATATCAATTTTAATACTAGATCAATTTTAATATTATAGGCAGCTATTAAGAATGTATGGCCACAATTTAAGACAGAATTAAGACCATATATCACAATAAAATCTCAGGAATCTGTTTTGTTGTTGTTTGTTTTTTAAAAGTTGCTATGTTGCCCATGCTGGACTTAAATTCCTGAACTCAAGCGGATCCCCTTAGCTTCCTGAGCAGCTGAAACTATAGGAGCACACCAACACACCTGGCTTGAATTTTTTTTTAACAGAAATTTTAGTCAACCACTTAACCTCCAGAACTATGACCCTCCCCCCACCCAATATAATCGTACATTCATGTTGTTCCTACAGAAAGATTTTAATTGGTTCTGACACCCTTTGAGAGTATGTTGTTCATCCCTGGAGGTTGACTGATGACTTTAGTATCAAAAAAGGTTAGTGGACTTAACTAATCAACTATAATATCTGGATCTATCACATTATCACAATAACTATCATCTTAAACAGTTTAAGGAAAAGAGAAAGCTGTTTCTATACTACTGGAGAACTTAAGCACTACAACTTATGCATAGGTAACCTAAAGCCATAAGTATCTTACTATTTCCCAGGCTCATTACAAAAATGGCAAATTATTTAAGGACTAAAGTTAGTAGCAGATGTAGGACCAAAGCCTAGGACTTCCAAAATATGAGCCGTATCTTCCCAAAGCATTGACACATTTAAACTATGATGATTTCTTAGCATTTTATTTAATAGGGAAAATAGCTACTAGAATGTATATATATCTCAAAAAAAAAAAAAAAAAACTCCATTTAACTACCACTCAGGTGGCTTCTCCAAAGAGACCCTCTCCCAGTGAGCAATCCCAGGAAAGGTCTTGCAGGTCTGACATGAGAAGAAACTGCCCTGCCCTCTTCCAGTTATATATCTATCTAAAGGGAAAAGTACACTCAGCAGTGAGCAGAAATGATCTGGAGTCAAAGGGTGAGGTGGCATCAGCAGACACTGCTGCTTCCTACTCTCCTCAAGGCTAATTTCGAGAATACGAGGGGCCTTTAAAAAAGTTTATGGGAAGCCGGGCTCAGTGGCTCAGCCTGTAATCCCGTGCTTGGGAGGCTGAGGTGTGGATTGCCTGAGCCCGTGGGTTCGAGACCCGCCTGGGCAACTTGGTGAGACCTCATCTCTACAATAAAAAAAAAAAAATTAGCAGGGCATGGTAGCGCATGCCTGTAGTTCCAGCTACTTGGAAGGCGGAGGTGGAGGATCTCCGGAGCCCAGCAGGTCGAGGCTGCAGTGGCTGGGAGTGGCCACTGCACTCCAGTCTGGGTGACAGAATGAGACTCCAACTCAAAAAACAAACAAACAAACAAAAAAGTTTATGGGAAATGTATATTATCAAAATATGATTAATGGATTTCAAAATTTCTGTGCACCAAAATAAACTCGTACTAACTTGTTATAAAATATCTGAGCAGGATCTAGTTTGAGGCACAAGAAGGATATGACATCAGTTTGAAAGGAGCCCCTATCAGAGCAACATGAATGCTGCAAAATGAAGAACAAACATCATATTTATGATGAAGTTTGGAAGAATGATGAAATCATTGCTGCTTTATGAAAAGTTTACAGTAACAATGCCCCAAATAAAAAATTAATTTACAAATGGATAACTCTTTTTAAGAAGGGACAAGACAATGTTGAAGATGAAGTCCACAGTAGCAGACCATCCATCTCAATTTATGAGTAAAAAATTAATTTTGTTTGTACACCCTAACTGAAGAGAACTTAGGAGAAAACAATACTGTTGAAATGTCATTCAAACAAGCCTTTAGAAATCCATTTTTGAAATATCAAGGAAATTTAAATGAGGAATTTGTTGTGATATCAAGAAACTGTTAGTTTATTTAGTAAGTTCTATGCACACATATTAAAAAGTTCGTATTTTTTCAAAGATGCACACTGACATTCATAGAGGTAAAAGAGCATGACTTCTAGGATTTGCCATAAGATAATTCTGCAAGAAAGGATAGATGGAGTACATATGGCCAGACTGTGTAAAGTATTAAACTTGGGTGATGGATTTATAAGCATTTGCTGCAGTATATGCTCTACTTATATTCATTGAAAATTTTCAAAATAAAACCCTTTAAAGAAAAACAATGAGGGTCTTTCCATTAAACACAGGCTTACATCAGATTCACCAACTCAGAAGGGAGGGGAGAGGAGGGAAGGGGGGGGAGGGATGCATAGTGTAAAAAATAGTAAAAGCAAGTGAACTTTTACTCGGCTTTTATAAAATAGATAAACTGGGAATAAAATCAAGAAAACCAAAATGCTTCTAGGTTCATCTCTGCAGGAACAATTACTTGATAGACTCAATTATATAATTTTGGAAATAGAATTCAGAATTAGTACTGTTCAATACTAACAGTACTCAAGTGCAGCTCTGGGATGTCAAAATTTACAAAGCATCTCTCCTTTTCTTATCTCAACCAATGTGTCACCCTCATATTGGGCTCTGCAACCACTGGAGACACATAGGAAGTCCTTGTGCACTGATTTTAGAAAGTTTACAACACAAAGAAGTGCCGAAGTATGTTTTAGTCGATCACCACAAAAAATAAATTTTACTACAATTAATGAAAAATAAATCTATAATTAATTCCATGCCAAAATTAAGTCAAGTTGTAGTTTTAAAAAAAGAGTTTCTAAGAAGCTATACCAAAAGCCCCCAAATGTCCTTGCAAACCACTCTAGGTGCACCATTTTATAACACTTCACAATGCTATGTTGAGGATGATAAAGCAGCAAAACCTAGAGAAGTTTTAAATAGTTCCATTTTTTAAAAGGAAAAGGGAAAAAAACATAATTCAGGCACCAGGAAGTAAAGGATACGTATCCCATTCATGCCTGAAATCTTGAAGTCATCAATGAGCTGAACCACCATGTCTTTGTTTGGGTCACTAGGATCACTTTCTCGAACCTATGCAAAAAATAAAATAAAATAAAAGCACAGAGGAGTAAGACAGTGCATCTTTTGCCACTAAACCAATCAACACTGTTTTAATAAAGCAGTATTTTGAAAATATTTAGCATTTGATCTTATAAAAAATAGTCGATTTTAATTTAGTATAGCTCAGAAAAATTCCCTGTAAAATTTTAAGTCATTAGTTTTCCACATATATAATCACATTTTTGCAATACTTACACATTTGAGCAATTTTATTTCATCCAAGGCTGTCTCTGTATAATGCTGGGCACTTTTTACAACTTTCATTGCAACAAATCTTTTACCCCTTTAAAGAAAAAAACAACACACATTTATTTATATTATCAAAGAAATGATTGTCACAGGTTGAGCATCCCTAATTCAAAAATCCAAAATCTGAGCCAGGTGCAGCAGCTCAAGCCTGTAATCCCAGCACTTTGGGAGGGCAAGGCAGGAGGATTGCTTAGGCCCAGGAGTTTGAGAACAGCCTAGGCAACAGAGAGACACCTCATCTTTACAAAAAGTTTTTTTTTTTTTTTTAATTAACAGGGTATGGTGGCACATGCCTGTAGTCTCAGCTACTCGGGAAGCTGAGGCAGAAGGATCACCTGAGCCCAGGAGGTCAAGGATGTGGTGAGTTGTGATCATGCCACTGCACTATTGCTTGAGTGGACACAGTGAGACCTTGACTCAAAAGATGCTCCAAATTCTGAAACATTATGAATGTTGACAAGACATCACAAGTATAAAATTCTATATTTGACCTCAGGTGACAGGTTACAGTCAAAACATAGTAAAAACCTTGTTTCATGCAGAAGATTATTTAAAATATCATACAAAAATGTCATTAGGCTATGTGTATAAGGCATGTAAGAAACATGAATGAATTTTGTTTTTCGACTTGGGTCATATACCCAAGATATTACATTAAATATATGCAAACATTCCAAAACCCAAATCACTTCTGGTCCCAAGCATCTCTGATAAGGAAAACTCAATTTATAATGAGATCTATCCAATAAATATAAACTTTTCATGAGCTTTATTTTCCTTTCAAATAGTACTTTCAAATAGTGTGGCCACAACAAAGTAGCAGGTGGGATCAAGACAATCTCTTTTCTGTTTTGTCGTTAAGTTTTGTTATAGTTAAAATATGCCAAAAAGATGTCATAGTTATCACAAATAGTAAGGGAAAGTGTCCTCTTATAACACTTTTGTTTCAGTTGATACACACACACACACACACACACACACACACACACACACACACACCCCACTGCTTGTGTGCAATACACATGCATATGTACTGGGTAGCAATGAAGTTTCTTACTTATGGGTAGGTCATGGCTTTAAAATGTTAGAAAAGAGGCTGAGTGTGGTGATACATGCCTAAAATCCCTACAGTTTGGGAGACCAAGGCAGGAGGAATGGTTGACCCCAGGGTTCAAAACTAATCTAGGCAACATAGCAAGACCTCATCTACAAAAACAAATAAACAAACAACAAAAAAAAATTAGCCAAGCATGGTGGCACACTCCTGTAGTCCCTGCTACTTGGAAGGCTGAGGTGGAATGATCACTTGAGCCCAAGAGTTCAAGGCTGTGGTAAGCTATGATTGTGCCACTGCACTCCAGCCTGGGCAACAGAGTGTGATCCTTACTCAAAAAAAAAAAAAGAAAAAAAGTTAGAAACCACGAGTTTTAAAAAGCCTATACATTAATTATTTTACATTTGGTCTTTTTTTCTGAAATGGATGAATTACTAGAAAAATATCCCAATATAACAAATTTTAAGGACTAAGCCTCAGAAATAAAGCTAGAAGAAAGTAAATATTTTAAGATTTGAAATGAACTTCAGGTTAAGGGGTCAAAAGTCTAGCTAGCTGGGGCAGGCCTGTGCTAAGCTAAGTACTTTACATAACACAACAAAGCAGATGCAACCCTCAGTTATACCTTCTTAGGACACAGATGATGAACCAGGTCAGGATTCAAATGCATAAATGAAAAAGAACACTTACTGCATATCCCAGCACAGCCAGACAGTAGAGAAGTGCCCCCATCCGAGCTTTCTAATAACATGATACCGGCCATTGAAGAGGTCTCCAATTTTCACTGGATGATAGCCACCTTAAACAACAACAACAAAAAGCTAATTCAAAATATCAGAAAAACAGCAACAACTCATCTCTCTCTTTGTCAATTCTTAATGTCATTAAAGAAAGCACTACATAACACAATCAGATTAAACATGTTTAATGGTGACTTCTGGGCAAGATAGCGATGGGACAGGTCTGAATGAGAATCTCCACAAAACCCAGGATCCAGAAAGATTCTCTGCATGAGTGGGCGTGTGCCAGTGGGTGAGTGAAAATCCATCTGAGGGGAGACTCGAGTTCATGCACCCAGGGGTCTCCTCCAGAAGTGACTGCAACCTACCACTACCCTGAGATTGGAGACCTGGGTGCACAGAATCGTCTGCGGTTCTCATGGCTCTCTTGAGAGGAGGCAGCAGAGAACAGTCACCCCTCACCACCTGATATCCAGCCCACACCATCATCTGCAGTAGCAGACCAGGCACAAGCAGGAGGAACCATGGAGAAGGCAAGTCATGGAAATCTGGAATAAAGCCCTAACATCATTGATGAGAAGCCAACAGGCGCCATCTTCTCAATCCGAGGACCAGGCAGAGACCTGCACTGCCAAGCCCAGTTCTGTCCAGTCTCCATCTTAGAACCCAGGGCTATCCTATCATTGGACTCAGAGAGATAGATACCCCTCCCCCAGGCTGGAACAAGCACAGGCATATCAGATCTGAGTGGGAGACTTGACAGCAGCAGCAGCAGCAGCAGCAGAGTCAGGTGAGTCTGTATCTGATCTATCCTCCTCCCACAGTAGTCAGTGGGGCATGTGACCCACGCTGAAAGGAACCCTATCAGCCTGCACAGAGAGTAGAGGGGAGGGGCTAGAGACTGGAGCCACTCTTTAAGACGGAGATAGCAGCCAAAAAAACCCTGGAGTTACAAAAATGGCCATAGAATAAGGTTTTTTTGTTTCTTGTTTGCTTTTCGTTTTGGTTTTAGTTTTCCTTTTCTTCTTTCTGTTTTTGTTTATGTTTTTATTGCTTTTTTAAAAAACATTTTCTATCTGTATATGGGTATTTTTGAGGGAGAGTACACCAACGGGGGGGTTGTTTGTTTTTAAGATTGCCTGTATTTTTTTTTGTTTCTTCTGTCTTTGTTTCTCTGTTTATGTATTAGTTGGTACGCCTGTCTGTTTTTCTTCTTCTTCTTCTTCTTCTCCTCCTCCTCCTCTTCTTCTTCTTCTCGCTCCACCTTCCTTTCATCTTCCTCCATCCTTTTCCATTCTTTCCCTTTTTCTTATCTCATTTTGCTTTCAGGGGGCAAACAGACATTCCCACTGCATAGATAGATTGTAAGGCAGTGGGAAGTGGGTTCCAGAGGGTCCACACACCTCAGCAGATACTGGAATCTGCAGATAGTTTCTGAATCACAGCTCCCCCCTTAATAAAATCTTAAAATTGCAAAAAGCACAGGCCCCAATCCCAGTCCAGCTTCAGAACTGAACAAAACCAGAGGATCTACATAAGGAAGAAAAGGAGATTGAGCAAACAGAAATAAAGGCTATCCCTCCATCACTGAACAACAGAATTAAAGAAGAGGTTTTTAAAAAAGGAGGAGGAAAACGTACACAAACGAAGAAAAATCAAAGGAAGAATATGAGTCTCACACAGAACCCTGGGAGGTCAGCCACTGAGAATACAGACTTTGGAACTCAAACAATGAAGAGCCCCCAGGATGACTGGTCTCAAACCACAAACCCAGATATCAAGATATTAATAGAGAGAAAAAATAGAAATGAGGAGAGACAAGAGTAAAGAGTGAAGGAGTTGATAACTGAGGTAACAGCATAAAGAAAACAGTGAATGAAATAAATAACAAACTGATAAGCATGCAAAGCAGAATTAAGCAAGCAGAAGAATCTCAGAGCTTGAGGACCAAAATATGGAACTAACCCAAACTGTTGAAAACATAGAAAAGAAGCTTTAAAAGACAGAACAAACCCTCCAAGAGATGAGTGATTATTTCAAGAGACCAAAGCTAAGATTAATTGGAAGCCCTGAGACAGACAGAGAGAAAGAGAACACCCTGGAGCAAACAGTACATGAAATTATCCAAAAACTTCCCTCATCTCACCAGTGATGCGACCATTCAAACACAAAAGATTCAGAGAACCCCTGCAAGACAACAAATGAGAAGGCCAATTCCCAGACACATAGTAATTTGCCTACACAAAGTAGGTATAAAAGGAAAAAATACTGCCGGGCTTGGTGGCTCAGCCTGTAATCCCGCGCCTTTGGGAGGCTGGGGTGAGTGAATTGCCTGAGCCCGCGGGTTCGAGATCCGCCTGGGCAGCGAGACCTCATCTTTACAATAAATTAAAAAATCAGCCGAGCATGGTAGCGCATGCCTGTAATTCCAGCTACTTGGAAGGCTGAGGTGGAAGGATCGCCGGAGCCCAGCAGGTCTAGGCTGCGGTGGCCGGGAGCGGCCATTGCACTCCAGTCTGGGTGACAGAGTGAGACTCCAACTCAAAAAAAAAAAAAAAAAGGAAAGAAAAGAAAAAAATACTAAAGGCAGCAAGAGAAAAACGTCAGACTACCAACTGGGGAAGGCCAATTAGAATAGCAACAGATTTATCTACAGAAACACTTCAGGTTAGGAGAGCATGGAGTCCAATCTTCAAGGTTCTCAAAAATAAACAATTTCAACCAAGAGTGACCTACACAGTTAAGTTTCATCAGTGATGGAGAATTAAAATCCTTCCCAGACATTCAATCCCTAAAAATTTACATTGCCTCCAGACCAGTTCTATAAGAAACACTTAAGAAAGTATTAAACATTGAAGAAAGGAAAAAAAGAATGATAACATCCTTCCCAAGAATGCAGGAAAAAGACTGAAAATACATGTGAATCAACCCAAAAAATCAAAAGAAAAACAAAAAAAAACCCAGCAGCAATGACAACAAATTCTATAAGAACCTCATGATAGAGAAAAACTCTCACATCTCAATAATTAGCCTGAATATTAATGGACTAAATGTACTGCTGAAAAGACACAGAATGACAAATTGGATAAAATATCATGAAGCAACAATATATTGTTTCCAAGAGACTCATCTCACCAGAAAGAATACTCACAGACTCAAAGAGAATGGGAAACAAAATTTCATGCGAACAGAACACAAAAGAAAGCAAGAGTCATAATCTTAATATCAGACAAAATACCCTTTTAAGCTATCAAAAATATAAATAGATATGGAAGGTCACTACATAATGATAAAAAGTTCAATCCATCAACAAGAAACATCCATCCTAGATATATATGCACCTAATATAGGAGCACCACCTTTCATAAAGCAGCTTCTAGGTAAACTTAAAAAAAAATAAGATATTGACTCTAACACTATCATAGCAGGGGACTTAAACACCCCACTAACAACCCTACAGTAGATCATCAAGACAAAAAGACACCAAGGAAATCTGGAACCTCAATGTGATGCTTGACCAAATGGACTTAACTGATACCTACAGAACACTACACCACAGAATATACATTCTACTTATAACCACATGGAATGTACTCTAAAATTGACCACATCCTAGGCCATCAATCAAGCATAAGCAAATACTTTAAGATTGAAATTCTGCCATGTACCTTCTCAGGAATAAAAATAAATATCAACACCAACAAAGTTCTCCCCAAACACACAAAGACATGGACACTAAACGGCATGATGCTAAACAACTTCTGGGTCAACACAGAAATAAAAACAGAGATTAAAAGATACCTAGAAACAAATGAAAATGAAGAAACATCTTGCCAAAATCTCTGGGGTGCCATGAAAGCAGTCTAAGAAAGGCATTCATATCTCTATGAACATATATGAAGAAAATGGAAAGATCACAAGTTAACAGTCTAACAAATCACCTAGGAAGCTGGAAAAGCAAGACCAGCAAAAACCTAACTTCAGCAGAAGAATCCAGATCACCAAAATAAAAGCCCAAATTCAAGACATAGAAGACAAAAATACAATACAAAAAATAAATAAATAAATGAAGCCAAAAGCTGATTCTTTGAAAGGATAAACAGGATTGATGGACCTCTAGCTAGACTAACCAAGAAAAAGAGAGAAAAAGTCCAAATAAACACAATCAGAAATGCAAAGGATCAAGTTACAACTGACTCCAAAGAAATAAGATTATCAGAGATAACTATGTACACTTGTATGGAAACAAACTCAAAAACCTAAATGAAATGGAGGACTTTCTGACATCCTACAACCTCCCCAGGCTGAAACAAGAAGAAACTGAGACCCTAAAAAAACCAATAACAACCCAGGAAATCGACTATGTCATAAGAAAACTACCCACAAAAAAAAAAAAAAAAGCCCTGGACCAGATGGCTTTCCAGCAGAATTCTGCAAAACATACAAGGAGAAGTTGATTCCAATCCTACTGAAAATAATCCAGGCAATCAAGAAAGATGGAACTCTTCTCAAATCATTTTATGAAGCTAACATCACATTGATACCCAAACCGGAAAAGATCCAACAAAGAAAGAGAACTACAGGCCAATACCCTTGATGAACACAGATACTAAAATTTTCAACAAGATTCTAGCAAAATGGATCCAACAACACATCTCAAAAATCAGCCACCAAGACCAAGTATGTTTCATCCCCGGTATGCAGAGCTGGTTCAACATCTGCAAGACCATAAATGTAATTAAATACATCAACAGATAAAAAGACAAAAAGCATGTGATTATATCATTAGACTCGGGAAAAGCTTTTGATAAAATCCAGCACCCCTTCTTGATAAAAACCCCAAACATCTAGGTACAAGAGCCATCTACAATATACCCACAGCCAACATACTGCTAAACATACAGAAATTTGAACCATTTCCTCTGAATACCGGATGCCTACTTTCACCGCTCCTGTTCAATATAGTATTGGAAGTCCTAGCTAGAGCAATCAGACAAGAGAGGGAAATCACGGGTATCCAAACAGGAAAAGAGGAAGGCAAGTTATCCCTCTTTGCAGA